CTGGAGTCTCCATTCAGACATTTACCATAGTACCAAGTTGTTTCTAGCCTCTCCCTCTACTCTCCATTCCCATGGATGTCCTATTGGGCTGGCCTTCCCCAGTCTCTTCCAGGTTGTTGATCCCAAGCAGCTGTTTTCATCATCTATTGCTGTTCTCAGATAGGCTCCCTTTTCACAAGTTCCTTTTTGAGTTCAACTGAAACTAATAATAATGTGCTCTGGAAATTCTCCCAGGTATCTGAGTCTCTTCCCTGACTAATGTTCTCACTTATTAATTGTCCCAAATGTGTCATGCACACTCCTGGCTCCAGCTTTAGGATTTGCTACCCCTCTGCTTGAAAAACAGTTCCCCAATACCCATCTGAGTCCCTTTCTCACTTCCTGTAGGATTCTGCTTATACAAGTGCCTTGGAAGGGGCTTCCCAATCGCCATGAAGTGTCTTCACTCACACTCCTACTGCTCCTCTATAACACTTACATACCAGACATACTCATTCTCTCTCAGATGATAGATAGATAGATAGATAGATAGATAGATGATAGATAGATAGATAGATGATAGATAGATAATTACGTTATATATTTTGTTTTTGTCTTCCTACACTGAAATGCGAGCTTCATGAGGTAAAGAGTATAAATTTAGTGCTGAATCCTGTGCCTACAGTGAACGCCCCCTGTGGTAGGCGGGGTAATGCTTCTCCAGTGGAAGCTGTGTCCTAATCCCTGAACCGTGGCTATTACCTTGCATGGAAAAAGGGGCTCTGCGGATATGATTAAGGATCTTGAGATGAGGAGAGGATCCTGGGTTACATAAGTCTGCCCATGTCATCACAAGGCCCTTATAAACAAAAGAGGAAGGCAGGAAAGCCAGTGTTAAAGAGAGATTTGAAGAGGCTTTGAAGATGGGCTACAAGCAAAGGAGTGCATGCACTCTAGAAGCTGGAAGTGGCCAGGAAATGTGTTTTTCTTTCAGCCTCCAGAGGGAACATGGTTTTGAGATACTTCGATTTTAGCCCAGTGAGATCTATTTTGATTTCTGACCTCCAGAACTATAAGATACTTATATTGTTTAGAGCTACTAGCTTGTGGTAATTTGTTTTAGCAGCGATAGGAAACTGATACCCCTGCCATCACTAGACTGTAGCCTCCTCTAGAACAGGGACTGGGTCTTCTTGACCTTTCATTTCTCAGATGCTCTTCACTCCTGGAGCACAGGTACTTTGTGTTTTTTAACACCATTCTTTTTCACACTCACTGCAAAACCTGGTGAACAGTGATGTCACTGGACGTAGGTTGGCTTTCTTGGAATATCCCAAGATACAAGGGCCAAGAGCTGGAATATTGCTAAGAGATAACTCACCTGTCCCTGCACACTGAAGTCCTATCCGTCACTGGGTGAGATGGTCACTTAATCCCACCTACTCCAACAACGTGCAGACTTTTTGACTGCAGTTCTACAGCTTCAGGGGCTAAAATGGGACGTTCCTACAAAATGCCTCAGGGATTCCAGGACTAAAGGTGTGAACAAAGCCAAAATCCAAGAAGCTAGGATTGCAGCCCCGAAGACCACCAGCCCTGAAAGAGATCAGAGTGTTTCCAAGCCAGAAATCGCGATTTTTTTGGAGGTGGGAAGTAGGGGGAGAACAAACAAGCCAGAAACAAACAGGGACCCAATTACAGAGTCTGGAACTGCCCCCACTTATTTAAGCCAACCAAGGCCTGGTGTAGAGGTGGTTTATAATGCCAAAGATGGAGTGGATGGCCCTTGACTCATGCCCACACAAACCACTGGGTTTTTTTGTTTTGTTTTGTTTTGGCAGGGGGGCTAACTGTACTCTTCTATAAGGCACAGAAGTGTTTTCAGGCACTGGACAGGTGGCACTGTTGAAGTTTTCCCTAATTGAATCTAGCCTCACTGAATAGAAATGAATATCCCACTAAAATCTCTAGTTTTGGAATCCAAACAAAACATCTTAAAAATCTGGGAATATTAAAAGGATCTCAGAGTGTGGGTACAAAATTTCTGATGTAATTTTTTTCTTATCTTCCATGTACTTTTTACAGAAAACTTCATAACTCATGCCTGATATGAATAAGGCCTTTTAGTTTTTTATTATAAACATTTAGGCTTAAAGTGATTATAACTGACAGTCAACACCAACAGAGCCAGCAGCCTGTTCATGGACAAATTATCTGTATTTCAGACTAAATCAAAAGTAAATGTTCTCCAGAGTCCCTTCAGGTCTGTAGAAGTCAAGCCCCACCCCCCAGCACCGGAATGTTCAGACTCTTTTTGAGATGGATATCCCTTTCCATGAAGCAGTATCATATGCATTCTGAACCATTTTCACATCTGAGTTCTTGAATGCTTAGTTGATTTTCCTCACTCAACACTTTTGTTTCACAAGGAGAATATTTGCATAAGACTGAGGCTATGTGTTTTTATGATCTGTCTGATTAGTGTTTTCCTAAATAATGGTGCAAGGGAGGAGCTGTTCTGATGCCTTTGCTTATTTTATTTATTTAGTTTTTTTTGTATTTATTCCTTGAAAGGAGAAGTAGTGAGCTCATGTCATTTAATAAATACTCAGAAAGATTAAGTACTACAAAGGCCTTAATAATAAAGCTATACTCCTGAATACCCGCATAGAGCAAGGTAATGAGCTATTTAAAAGCAGCACAGCAATAAAGGAAAATCAGTATTCTGAATCACAGAACAGGAAAACTGTTGTCACCAGAAGTGGTGTCACTCATCCCTGAGGTTCTGCAAGCCTATTAGAAATGAGCTTTAGGGAGCTGTGTCTCCCAGCTTGTCATTGTTCTGAAAGGCAGGCAGTTTTAAACAAACACAGGCCCCTTTTTGGAACCTATATAATAAACTCAGACACATTAATCTCTACTCATGTCTCTAGTTAGGTTCTGACCCCTCACTCTTTCTGCTCTAATGGAAGGAAGTGAAGGCCAACTGACATTAGCTAACAGAAGTTTGTGTAAAGGTTCACATATGCCTATAATCAAATAAACATCCTTTCTTAAACTTGTCTTTTTATTGAGTCCCATAAGACAAAGATTTCTCCTATGATGATACAGGATTACATAATAGTCTGTATGTACTTTAACAATGTTCAGTTAATTGCAAAATTTGAAGAGAAGGCAGAGAGAAAATAAGAAATTACCTCCTGATTGACCTGCATGTTTTGGTCCTAGATGTTTTGGTCTTTAAGGACAACTCACCGTCCTTTAAGAGTGAAAAGTCCCATGCCATGCGTGCGCCTGCCTCTGCCACTGACAAATCTGCATGGCCTAAAACATCTCACCTGGTCTGCCTAAGTGTTAGTTGCTTTGTGTATAGAAGAGAAGAATGAAACTTCCCTACCAACCATGGAAGACTGAAATAGGAGCGAGCTGAGACAAAAGAGGGAAAACTCTTAGAAGATCCTGCCGTATGCATGAAGTGACAGTAGTTCATAAGGGCTTCTTTCTTGAGAAGAGAACAAGGTGTACAAAGATGTCACATACTATGTGGCTGTATGCTTAGCACTATGACAAACAACACATTGAGGATATAAAGCTTGACCATGGTTATGAATAAAACTATTTTGATGCAACTACCAAATCGAAATGAGTAAAATTATCTCTTTGGGAAAAATAACTTATGAATTGAGAAAGGTAGATAAGATATTAGAAACTCACACCCAGACCTCCTAATTCTTATTTAGTTAGTAGTGTCTCTCGAGCTCTTCTGGACAAGATAATGAGGTAAACAGGTCTCTCTCCTTTCCCAGGTTCCAGCCAAAGGAATGACAAGCAAGTAGTAGAGGAAGAGCTGTGTTAGTGTTAAAAGCTGGGGAAGGGTCTCATCCCATGACAGTAGCATCGGCACTTTTGCTGAGTATTGTACAGGACATACCAGATTAAAGGAAGACTTTGGGTGGAGGCTTACAACTTTCCTTCCTGAGCAAAGGCCGAGTCCCACATGGAGGAGCACAGGGACCCCAGGGTCTGTGCAGTCGTTAGAGCATGTGTCCTGTCAATTGCAGCTCCAGACCTTGCATCTTCTCAGATTCAAACTCAGGAGAGGAAAAAGTGAAAATTTCCTTCCAAGCATGGATGGAAAGTGTCCCTCTCCGTGCTGCTAGCTCTGAGTGTGACATGTGCCAGAGAAACAAAATGTGCAGCTTCGCTTCAGGCCTAGACACCCTGAGCCCAAGCCAGAGTAAATAGGGAGGGAGCAGGGAGAAGTGGTTCCTCGCAGAGGAATCTCTGTCATTTCTATGAGGAGAAAAGGTGAATGAATTCTTGGAGCCATGTGTGCTTTGACTGCTCTCTTGGGCCTGGGTATTTCATGCATACCTGAATTCAAGGATGTGGGAGCAACTGAATTGCCTCAGTTGCTAAGCTGGCTTCACAATGGTTTGTATAGACCCAGCTCAGCACTGGCTTCCTTCTTGGGACTCTGGCCTCTACAACCGGTTCCAGATGTCTCTGATGTTGGAACAGTGCCTGCAAAAGCAGCTGAAGGGTCTCCCTACCACAGTGTGCCAACACTCTGAAGGACTTTGGCACCTCGTGCTTTCTTGGTAGCTGCCTCTCCTGAAAAGAATCCCTTTGTATATCCAGAAAAGGAAACTGCAGTGTTTTGGGTCTGAATCCCCAAAGCTCTTACAGACGCTGTACAGTTTGGCCAAACCTAGGCACTAAACAGAGTGGAGCTACCTCGGCTACACAGTATGGGGAGGAGGGTGGTGGCAGCCTGAGCACTGGCTGCAGATTGCTCACTTGCCACCGCAACAGCAGCCTGGGCTCCCGGGGGAGGAAAGGGAAGTCACAGCACACTTGATGTGGAAGGCTGCATTTGTTCCTTGAGGTTTCTTGTTCCCTCATTACACTACTCAGATGGTTTGCTTTTAATGTCTGCTTGTCTTGTTCCATTTGACCTATAAAAATGCTAACATCCTTTAACTAGATTTCCCTCAAAGAGTTGAATGTTTCTTTGTCAGGTCATACAGCATATTCGACAATAATCGCCAGGATCCCACGGGGCTGACAGCTGCTCTTCAAGCCACAGACCTGGCTGGAGTTCTGCACATGCTCTACTGTGTCCTCTTCCATGGCACCATCTCGGACCCCAGCACTGCCAGTCCCAAGGAGAGCTACACTCAGAACACCACCCAAGTAGCCATTCAGAGTCTGCGTTTCTTCAACAGTTTTGCAGCTCTTGATCTGCCTGCTTTCCAGGTACCAACCCTTGGTCTGTGTTGGCATTAACCCACAAAAAGTGAGCATCTTAATGTAGGTATAATGTGAGGTTCTTCTGAATTGGAATCATATACCATCTATTAAGCTGCTGTTTTCTAGGAACTGCACTGGATGCTTTATGTGTGTTTCTTCTTTATTCTCCTAACTACCATACAAAATATTATTGTACCCATTTTACAGATGGAGAGTTGGCAGATTGGTCATTTGCCTAAGGTAACACATGGCTGAGTCAAGACTATTTACCCATGATTCTTCACTCCCAAAGCTGGCCCTGTGACACTCTGCCACTTAGAAACTTTCTGTCTTGAATTCTCTAGGTAAAGGTATTATCCTCCCATCAACTTTTAAATATTAAGAAAACTAATGGTCTCTTATGTAAACAGAACCCAAATTAGATAAATTATTTTGATTGGTATAACTTTCTATGGATAATTTAACTAATTTGTGTTCAACATAAAGTGCATGTATACTTAGATGTGCAAACCCCTATAAATTAAGATTTTATAGCTAAAGAAAAAAAATCGCCTTATGCTATAACCCCAGACTGTAGGCTTAGACCAGGCTTTTCTTTTTCATGTAGGGTATTTAATTTTTACAAATATGAACCTTGGAACAGAACGACCCCCAAGAAGTACACTTACTCTTTCAGTTTATTAACTGCCAAGCGATTTCATTAAAAAGGAAAAAACTTGGCAGATGATGAACCCATAATTTAGATGAATTACTTTGCTAAGAGGGAAAAAGGTTATAGAGATGCAAGTGTGTGAAAACTGTGGTCTTTGCCATTCTGTTTTGTAGCTGATGACAAATGTGCAATTCTTTAATGTCTTCCTGTCATTCTGTTCAAAAAAGGAACTTAGTAAGCTGTGCCATTGGCTCTCGTATCTTTTAACTTTGTAGTTAGTTTATCTGTCACAAGAACAGAGACTCCTCCCGTAGGTTAGGGCATTCTGTTTCCAAAGCAGCTTCACTAGTGAAGCCTCACATGGAAACTGCATGATAACGTAGAATCGGAGGACTTCGCAGCCACACAGAAAATGAGAGATGTCATTCCAAAAAAATGTGATGACTTTTGCCTCTGGGTTGAGCATAACATTTCAGCTTTGTGAAGACCCAAGCCTGTGTGTTCTATCTAGAAACAACTTGGAAAACAGGGAACCCTGATTTTGTCCTCAGGATATGGAGTCCAGCAGTCTCTGTCAGCTGTGTCTAAACAGAGTGATTTCCTTTGTTACCAGAGATTATGAAAAAGCTAGTAAACTAAAGGCTTGTGGCTTCCTGGGCCTCTGACTAGGATTAGTACTGCCCCAGGGTCTTCCACATCATAAACCAGCACCTAGATTAAGTCAGCCATCCCACCCATCCCTGAGCATCAGAGAGCCCCAGACCCCTGCCTTGTTCCTCCTAGGCTACCTCACACACTGATCTCCAGCCAGCCTGCTCCCTGGTGGCCTTTAGGCACAATGGCCAATAATGCTTAAAAAAAAAAAAAAAAGCCTATTTTTGAAACTTTTCATAGATCCAAGATAAACCTAATATTTCTCCTCTCCAGATCTTTGTCATATCCAGCCCAGTCTATATCTCCAACTTGAGGCACATTTGCCAAACACACCAGGAAAAGATACCAGGGTGACTCAAGAGTATTTGATTCTCAGAATCAAATGCTCTGCCTTCCTGATAGTGTCCTTTCTTGGCTGGTTCTCACAGCTATCCAGTGCCTTTGCTTCTTTATTGCTCATGCAACTCTGTGGTTTTTCTTAATTCTTCCGTTCCCGTTTTTTCTTCCTTTTTGTCTGTTTTGCCTCTGCTGTCTTCTTTTATTTTAGCCAGTTTTGTCATTACTCTCTCTCTCATTCTCTCCCCAGTCATAGTTTCCAGGGACTCCTTACCCTAAACCAGAGGATGGGCCACAAACTCCTACAAGGACCTTCCTCTTCTCTTGTTCCTTTGACTTAGCCATGTCCTTTCAGTGCCCAAGACCAGCACCTGTTTCTCCTGACCCCTCACCAGCATGTGAGGGGCCAGAACACCCAGAATTTCTAGCATCAGACCCTTTAATACATTTACCTTACCTTGTTACTCTCAGCACTTTCAAGCATTTAAAAGCAAACACATAAACTTAGTGGAATAAATATACAACAGTATAATCAATTTTATTATGATCACAGATTCTGTGAGTCTAGAATTCAGATAGGGCTCATCCCAGTGGGGATGACTCTGTGATGACAGGTCTTCAGGTGAGAGGATCCCAAGGTGAGGAGAGGGGAAGTGGGGAGGGCAGGGTTGCCTCAACACAGCTGGGAGCTGAAATAATCTGGAGGCTCCTTGCCTTTGTTTTTTAATGCCTGGGATGGTTCAAAGATACCTTTGGGTCGCCTATGACTATTGGTAGATGCTCTACGTACTGCTTCTCTCTGTGTGACTCGAGCATCTCAAAACACCATGATGTCTGGGTCCTGAGTGGGAGTATCCTAATAGGAAGCTTCTGGAAAGCAGTGTTCCAAAAGAACCAGACAGCAGCTGCATGGCTTTTATGAAGTCATATAGCTGCATATCAACCAATGCCATCAGTAGTAAGCCTTCCAGGTAGAAAGAGGAAGACATAAGCCCTACTTTTGATGGGAGAACTGTCACTGATTTGTGGTCATTTGTGAACTGCCACACACTCTGCTTAGCAAACTAAAATGACACATCTGACTATATGGATACCATTGATGATGAGTATATAATGTTTAAATAAATATAAAGTGTTCACACTATATATTTTGGGGAGAAAAGTACTACTTTTATGATGAATGTGGTCAGAGAAACACCCATGTTCTAGCTCATCAAAACAGCTGCATATCAAAAGTGAGATTTCAGAACTATGGGAAGGGAAGGAAAAGAGGTTTTAGGTAGAAAGAAGGAAGGCATACATCTCAGCCTGGTCTAGCCTTAGAAAAATCTGAGACAACCCGGGGAGGCTCAAAGGAAATGAAGAAGGAACCTGAAGTAAAATAGATGGCCTGAACCACTGAAGAAGAGTGAGGCAAGATGAATGAGACAGGTGAGGGGTTTGGGCCCAAGTTGCAGGAATGCAGAGCTGAATAGTAAGGCAAGCTCATCAGGTGTGCTTGCTGGACCTGGAGTTAGACTGAGGTGCTGTGTCACCTTGGACAGGTCATCTGCACATTTGAAACTCAGTATCTCCATCTGTAAAGCACCCCAAGACTATTTAAAGACTAAACAAGAGTACACAAAGGTGTTGTGCCAGCCAGCACGCAGTTGGCACTCAGGACACTTGAAGTGGCTCAGCTTGTAAGGTGTAGACGACCAGACCATCGGCAGGTGTCGAGTCTGCAGTCGGGCAGAACGCCCAATGCTTCTCTGCCCTTCTTTGAAGCCACAGCCCGTCGTGTGACGGTAACAGAACGTTATCCATTAGAATATTTGTGTAGCTGGTTACATTTCATTGTATGCTAATAAGGTTGTCAAACTATTTCCCCCCTTCAGCAAAAAGTCAGATTTCACTCTGAAATCATCGCCGGCAGGATGGTCTTGAGATGGGGGCCATTGTATATTGCATTCCCTTTGACAGTTTTTACAATTGAACGTGGTCTCAAAAAACAAATCAGTGTACTGACTCAGCAATTAATTCTGGCTAAAAAGGAAATATAGTTTCCTTGAGAAATTGGTTTAATTTTTATATTCAAATGTACATGCCCCTTGACCTGCTCTTATCCGGAAAGGTCAAATGGAGGGCACTGGGTCACAGCATGCTGGACAAGACTAATTAAATAAGAGCTAAACTGAAAAGGTGTCACTACTTGATTTAAAGGAGAAAAGCCCTCCTGATGTCTCTTTGGGGCTTGAAAACCATTTTTTGTCTTGAGGCAATGAAACAGACTGAAGGCACTCTCAAAATTTAGCAGTCAATTTGTTTCACCAACGCCCACTTGAACGGCTGTGTTTTACCCACTGTTAGGCAAAGTGAATTCACTGAAACTTCCAAGCTGCAGTGCATCTGACCTGTTTCAAAGCCACCAAGACCTCAAATGAGGAGATGAGTTTAAAATGCAGCCTTGCCTTTCCCACAGGCTGGCGGTGGTGCTTCATTCCAGTGTGGGCTGCAAGTGTGTTCTGTGGGCTTCGCCTCTCCCCTTTGCCCTCCTGTCGCTCTGTCTGTTTGACATGTTTATTAAATAGAAGCTTCAGGCTGCACAGGCAGACTCAGACTCTCCTCCTGAGTCGCCCACCACCGACAGCCCTTGGCCTGTCTAGAGAAAAGATCCCAGAAGCCTCAGAACTGAGGGGCTTACTGGTTTGGAGTGGGGGATTGGATTTTTTGGCTTGGTTTTGTACATTCTTTTGGGAGCCTTTAGTTTATAGAGTATTTAAATATTAATTAGTTCTTTTTTGTATTTCTTTTCTATTTGAACACGAGTAATTAAAAATGTATGTTTATCTCTGTGTATAAGAAGATCTTTTCTCTAGGACAAAAGTATTGGAAGTTAGCAAAGTGCACATGTACAGGTGGATTTTAGTATTTTTATACTTTTCTAAATTTTGTACAATGAGAATATTTATGTAAGAAAATGTAAGTTTTACACACAGAACTGTAGAAATGTCACACTTTTCCAGCCCCGGGGCCCAGTCTTGCTGTGTGATTTGCAGCCGGTCTGTCTCTGGGCTGGGGTTCTAACTGCTCCTCATTTTTGTCAGTCTATTGTAGGGGCAGAGGGCTTGTCCCTTGCATTCCGACATATGGCTAGCTCCCTGCTAGGCCACTGCAGCCAAGTCTCTTGTGAAAGCCTCCTTCATGAAGTCATCGTCTGTGTGGGCTACTTCACTGTCAACCATCCAGATAACCAGGTAAGAGGCCCTGGAAGGTACCTTAGACTGCTCCCCTAGCACTGAAGTGTGAGGAATTGGAGTGAGAAAAGGCAGGCTACCTTGCTAGAACCCATCTGTCCTGTGAGAACCCCTTAACCAGGCTCTCCAGATGTGTCACTGGCTTTGTCACTCCAAGGAGATTTAATCAGCACTAGATAGAACTAGGGCTTTCCCTTACAGCTATAAAAATACAGTGTCTAATATTCTTAAGGCACACAGAAGCTTTTACTCCCTTGATGTGTATATTCTGGCGCACCCTCCCTCTCCACATAGATTCTTGATGCTGTCTTGCTTTGATAAGACAGCACCTACATTTTTTTAACTTGGCTCACTTTGCAGAACATATTAGAGTCTGATACTTCATGAAACTGTTCTTGGCTCTTGGCTACTACTAGGTACCAAGAGGCTTCCAAATGGTGTTGGACGGTAGACTAGGAGGGCAGGAGCTGGGCCTCTCCCTGAGCTGCCAGAGTAGTTTTGCCTTTAGTTACTTTACTTGATTTCTGAGTAAGATTTTATGTCTAAATAGGGTTCTGCTTCTTTATGAAGTTGAATTATTTCTCTTTATTTTTGAAATCAGAATTGTGGCACAGCTAACATATCAATAGAAATTTCTGATGCCTTCCTTTATGTAAAGCACCTCCTACTCAGCAACCTTGACATGTAGATTACAGCTGAGAGAAGGAGTTCTGAACAACTCGTTACTTGCACTCTACCCTTACAGCAAATGTCAAACAAGAGTGCCTACCGGATTTATGCCCACAGCCAACCAGAGCAGGGAAGGAGCAAAGGAGATGGCTGTGCCATCAGAGCCAAGTACAGGGCATGAGGCTATACACTGAGAGCTGACATTGCCTGCCTAGAGAAAATGGCAGAAGAACTCAAACTCACAGCCCATGAGCTTGAAGGATGGATGACTGTTGGTGCTGACCCTGAGTTAAGCACGCGGACAGCACGTGTAGTGGTATACGTATACCACTACACATGCTTTAAGAAGGTGGAAAAAGATGCTGTCCATTCTGAAAGCTGTTTCTATGGTTAAAATATAGGAAAATCTAGGCCCTTCCCAGAATAGCATACACAGAAATTTCCCTTTTCTCAGACTCTGTGGCCAGGAGAGCAGATGGCAACTCTTTCTCAATTCCCACCATGGGAACCACAAGCAGGATCTTTCTCTTGCAAACACCTCCAGGTGGAAGCATTTGTCCTTTCTGGGGTCTAGGCCCAGCAAGTTTGGTCTCTTAAAAGCTGCTCACCTGTGTGGATTTCTTTCCTTTGTGTGCATTCATTCAGTCTACTAAATGGCTTTATTTTTCTTTAAAGTTTGTTTTTATTTTTCTGATTACAAAAGTGTTTCCTATTTATTGTGAAAAGACAGGGCAAGCATAGCAAATAAAATGGAATCCAGGTTATTCCTGCTCTCACCACCTGAGAGAGCCACTGGCAGGTTCCCTTCTAGTCCTGTTTCTGTGACTGATCTTGCAGAGCTAAAGTGGCATTGCACATGTGCCCTTCTGCACTTCACGAATGTGAATATCATTTTAACAGCTACACGGCTTTATCTTCTGTGGACATTCACAGTTTATGTAACAGTTTCCTGTTCTATATGTAAGTGGTTTACGCTATATATCATGACACTCTACTGCACTTGTAAAGAGCTGAGTAATTTGTGTGATAATATTTTGCTGTGTGCAGTTCTGCAGCAAAAAGTTCAGCTGCTTCAGCACTTTTCATGCTAGAGATGGTCTGAAATTTTTTGCATAAACTGTTGTGATAAGCTTACAGGACTCAGAATTATGTGGGATTTCAGTTTTTCTGCTGATGCTGGGTCATAGACATTACCTCTCCTTTCAATAAAATACATATTTTCCGTGTCTCTGGTATCAGCAGAGTGAACAGGGACTGGGGAGGGACTCATATTTGAAGGTGGCATATTAGACCTGATGTGGACAGGGTGAAAAGTGCTTACTGGATGTATTGGGATGAGAAGAAAGCTGATGAAATGGACAGAGTGATGCCTAGGCAATAGCAGGAGGAGGATAGGACTGAGACCCCATCACTTGTCAGTTAGGGAAGAAGAGGATGCAGTGAGGGTTGGAGCTCACAGCTGAGATGTGAGCTCACTCTGAGGAAGAAATGAGAACAGTGGGAAAAGCCAGAGCTGTGTCTCAGCACCTCGCCTCCCAGAAGCACTGAATGCTAAACTAGTCATCAAGAAGTCCAGCTCTGGGACAATTGCTGAAATGCAACAATCTTCAGAAGAAATACGAAACTGATAGAAAAGCTACTAATGGCAAAACATGGAGGCACTGCGCCTTGTAGAAATGCCATTTCTAAGCATAACCCTTTGTATCTGTACAGTTCTTTGTGCTGTTGTCCCCATCTTGTCTCGTATGGCTCACTAGCATTCCAGTGAGAGCATAAATACAGGATTATTCCTACCTCAGACAGGTGAGGAATCGAGGCTCTAGGAGAGGAATTAAGCCCCCAAAATGTCATAGAGAAGCCATCCCTAGAAGACCAGTTCTGGAATCCCAGGTCTTGTACTTTCCATTTCATCTCACATGGCTCAGGAAGGCCCCTCCACCGGTGATCACCTAAGCATGTCTTAGACAGAGGCAGGAGGTAGATGATGCCCAGGCACCTGCCAGTGCTGACATGGAAGTTTCTGGGCACAGATGTGTGCCTCACTCAGGAGACTCTCAAGATTCTGGGAAGGTATAAACAAACATGTTTCCTAAGTATGAATGGACCAGCTCAACAAATAGAAGGCCTGACCTCCAGCTGCAGCTCTGCATCAGCCTTAGGACCTTAGATAAAGCCTTGCCCTCTGACTGTGCCGGGGAGAGTGCATGGTTTTGGAGAAGGATGGCCACACAATACTGAATGTTAATGCCACTGAGCTGAGGGCTAAAAATGCTCAACTGGTCAATTACATTACACATATTTTATACAATAAAACAAACAGAAAATGAAGGGGAGGAGAAAGAGGAAGATTGCATGTAGGTGATCTCCCTTGCAACTCTGGGAGTCTGTGATGTTTTAAAGGCTGAGACTGGAAGCATAGACCGACCGGCATTCTGATCTTACAGGGACTCCACACTCTTTTGTGGTTTTCAGATTCTCTTTCTCTACTACAGATCCTGTCAGCACCGGACACTTACTGAGCTGCCTGTCCACTTTGTGCCAACTCATCACTGAAAGCTCAGTGTGCCTTGGCTCCCCACCCCCCAGTATGAACAGAGGGGAGCCACAACAAATACTCACAAGTGCAGTCTTCTGCAGGTGGGTTGTCAGGTGCCTTGCCATGTTGCCATCTCAGCTGCAGTTGCTCCACCTGCACTATAAGGCTGTGCTCCCCAGCTCAGGCTGAATCTTGTGCCATGCTCCACACAGGTCACGATGCCTGCAGAGGACAGGGTGTGGAAGTAGCCAGAGGTTGCTGAAGTAGTGATTGCTTGTATCCAGTAGAGTTGAGAAGGAAGTTTTCTACAGCTAAAAAGTCAATTGTTTGCTATAATTTAAAAAAATAGATTTTATTAAATTCCTTTTCTAACATCCCCCTCCCAGTAATTTGCTAGCTAAGCATTTGCTGAGGGGATACCCCAGCTCCCATCACAGATTTGTGGCGCCTTCATCCTAGAATGGCTGTCTGGCACAGCCCAGCCTCACCACTGGTAGGCCAGTTTGTACCCCCTCTGTGCCCCACTCTGTGCCTCCGAAAATGAATTTTCTTAGCCTGATAGCACTTCCTCTAAATGAGGGATACTTAGTCATGTCACATTTCTGTACCATTCCTCTGAGGTCATGTTATTTGCGGGGCCTTTTTGTCCACAGGGGATCCATCTCGTGTCATCACAAGACAAGATCCTGAAATCTTGCTGCAGCCCAAGTCTGTTTGATTAGGTAACTAGTTTGCATAAAGGATTGGCATTTTTTATTTACCACCACTTAGTCTATTAACTGGAGGGGCTGAGCCCCATGACCCCAAGGATGAGAAAGAGAAAAGCTGGATAATAAAGTAATGCCCATCCTTGATGCAACCAATCATCTCTTTCCTACAGAGTTGCAATTTCTAATTAAAATGTTGTTTTAATCAAAAGCCTCCCTATATTTTATGACGCTTTCATGACTCTTTCTAAATTCCTTCCCATTTAATTATTATAATGAACATAATTAGTGTGTGCTGTCAGCCTTTCACTTTATTTACATTTTGTATTGGATAATTAAATGTGGTCTGATAATTAAATTAACTCAAATGACGGATTATTTGGCTGCTTGCATATTCCTGTATTGGGAATAAGCACCTTTGCGTATTCATTTTGGGTTGGAAAGGCCCGATAGAGTCCAGCTGTGCCAGCTGTGCTGCTGCAGTCTGGGGTTGTTGAAGGCTCCCTTTGGCCCACCCTGCCCCATCCATCTTCTCTGGAGTGGCATGCATGCAGACCAGGTAATGTGCTCCCAATGCTTCCTGGAGGATCAGGACTGGTAGGCAAGCAGACAATGAGGCTGTGCCTGAGGCTGTGTGACATGCGTTTTGCAGGTCTTTCCAGGTAATTGGATGATTTAGTAAGGAAAAAAAAAAGTGTGAATTTGATGAAGAGTTCCTAAAATGAATCTGTTATCCTTACCTCTATAGGGTGTTTCCCTGCACCAGAAACAGGAGCTGTTTCACAGTGTAATCCCATCAGCAGCTAAAGGAGACACAGTTGTGGTTTGTTGTTACCATTGTCATTTTCAGTATGGGGTATTGAGCTTGGTTTCCAGCCCTTCAGTTGTATCTTGACAGAGGCATTAGGGTTGGGGGTGTAGTTCAGTGGTAAAGCACTTCCCTAGCATGTAGGAGGCCTGTATTCCATCCACAGCACTGGACAAAAAAGTGGCAGTGTTCCAGAATCCTATTCCAACATTTAGAACTTGCAGAGGTAGCCTGAGTCCTGCTTCCTGCTCAAACATTCTTGCTTTACTCTGTGTCTTTG